AGCATCGAAGAACGGTGAAACCGACTTTGTTGTCCCGCATACAAAGTGTGCAGCTGACTTGGAGGAGCAAGTCGGCTTGCATAGCCAACCTAAGCGAAGCTGACTTCGGTGAAGCCGACCTTGGTAGTTGGCTAGCTTCGGTGAGCCCAGCCACAACGAATCCGACGATGAAGTCAAGTCGGTGGCTGGCTTTGGGCCTTAGCGGTCGAGCAAGGTGTTTGTCGACCTGAAACCGACGGAGTGAGTCGGCCGACTCAGCGGCCTGTTCTGGTCGACTGTATAACCTGGTTGACGAAGTTCTGCGGGGTGCGTGAACGTCGTCCATGTGGTCTTGGTGAAGTCGACCTGCGTAACGGCAGCACGAGGTCGATGTGGCACATCTAAGAGCAACCGTCGGCATGTAGTCGACCTGGCCACCTGGGCAATGTGCTTAACGGGCAACCGTCTACCTCCACCTACTCGGTAGGTGCGCCCATGTGCGCGCAAGGACACCTGCGGTTTCAATGCTTGCAAGTCACATTGCTGCAGCAATAGCAAGCCACCCTAATGCAGCACTGGCAGGTCGCCAACTTGCTGTATTGTCAGAGGTCCACTGGTGATCCCCGATCGATCCTAGGGAAGGGTTACAGGCACGTTTGCCTGGGGGGTTATGGGCGCACTGACCCGCTACTGAAACAAGCCCTTTTATCCCAATGGTCTAGTGGTTGGGATTCTGAGATGGTATCCAGAGCGAAGGTCTCGGGTTCGAATCCCGGTGTATGCACTTCGGGCATCCCAGTGCGGGGGGATGTCAGAGGTCCACTGGTGATCCCCGGTCGATTCCTAGGGAAGGGTTACAGGCACGTTTGCCTGGGGGGTTATGGGCGCACTGACCCGCTACTGAAACAAGCCCTTTTATCCCAATGGTCTAGTGGTTGGGATTCTGAGATGTATTGATAAGCCACCTTCTAGTTGCGTTAGCACGCCATTGACTTGCAATGCTGCCAGGCTGGCCTTGTGTTACACTAGAGGTCGACCTGCCTACTTGCTATGCTTACTAGGCCCTATATGTAACCTTTGCCATTGCCTTTTTGCATCATATTATCGAAGTTTTAGAGTGAAACTCTTGCCGTTTTTCCCTATAAACAATGCAAGTAGAGAGAACACGAGCAAACACTACGATCATATGTACCACCTGTGCCTTCCTCCATAGAGTGACTCTCTGCAGAGCCGCCATACGAGCTCTGACACTATGGCAGGAGTGAGCAAGGGCACGGCTGCTGTAAATGAGAGGGGGCAACATGGCAGAGGAGAAGACAATCAGAGGTAGTCATGCATAGCCAAACCCTAAACCCTCAATCACGCCTGCAAGTGCGTTGGCAGGTAGCAGCTGCAGACGCGGGTATCAGCGGCAACAGGCATGGCCGACATGTGAGGTAGCAGGTACGCTCGTCAAGTGTGCAGCAAACGCGGCACCAGGGTGCAGGAGGCACTGTGGCAGGGCGCAACGGCATATGGTAGGCGCGATGGTAGGGCGCGCGAGGCGTGCAGAACACGCGGCGGTAGGGTGTACAGTAAGCGCAGCAGGGAGCATAATAGGTACGCGGGAGGAAGTCGGTTGGGCGCATGGCAGGCACGTAGCAGCGCGCACGTCAGGGCGTTTTAGGCGCACGACTGAGGGCGTGGCAGGTGCGCAGAAGGTGCGTAGCAAGGTGCGTAGTAGAGCGTGCAGTAGGCATGCACCAGGGCGCGGCAGGCACGCTAGAGGGTACGACAGGTGCGCTAGAGGGTACGGCATGTGTGCAATGAATAGGGTGCGGCGGGCATGAGAGTAGGGCGCGGCGATAGGCGAGTGCAATTATGCTACATTCAAATACCACGTGTTTAACAGAGTCAAATGTCAGTAGAGCTACACTGTGAGATCCCCGATCGATCCTAGGGGGGGTTACAGCCCCGTTTGCCTGGGGGGTTATGGGCGCACTGACCCGCTACTAGAACAAGCCCTTTTATCCCAATGGTCTAGTGGTTGGGATTCTGACATGGTATCAGAGCGGTCTTGGGTTCGAATCCCGGTGTATGCACATGTTGGCCGTTGCCTCTATGCTCAGTCCTGTGCCTCCCAGTGTGGGGGGGTGTCAGTAGAGCTACACTGTGAGATCCCCGATCGATCCTAGGGGGGGTTACAATCGCGTTTGCCTGGGAGGTTATGGGCGCACTGACCCGCTACTAAAACAAGCCCTTTTATCCCAATGGTCTACTGGTTGGGATTCTGACACCAAATAATGTGTATTGCAGCAACAACCCATTTCCGTAAACCGTTTCTCCACTAATTGATAATGATAATTTGGATCCATAACCAATCAAGCCGTGAAAGCATGCCTTATGCTTTATAGTTGAGCCCACATGTTTTTTCTAACGTTATCAAAGCACTCAACAATTATTACTATGACATGTGACATGCTTCTTTTTTCACCCAACTAAATCTTGTACTGCGTTTGACCATGCATGTGCTCCCCTACTTCTGCGGCTTCGTGACCAATCAAAGCTCATTATAGTGACTCCGATGAACGTAATTGCTTTCGTTCCGGCTCCTATTGGACGGTGATGCAGAAAGCATAGCTACTCTTCTTCGATCCGCTAGTGGTTATTGATTGGATGTCAAGCTTGCAACCTCGCCAATTTCCCTATAAAAGTTTGATTCAACACCATCGTGTGGTTTACGTAAACACAATTGTACGGTTATTCAGATGGCAGAATGGCTACAGCATCGATCCGTGAGCTTGTTATCGATTGGCCATTCATCAACGCAACTTCCAAAAACTGGGATGCCCCACCCTACAAAATGCTTGCAGCTTCCACATTCTTTTTCTTTCACCCCCCTGGCCAACGTGCTTGTAACCCTTCCTAGGATCAATCGGGGATCTCTGACATCTCCAACGCTAGTCCCTTAGTTAAACTTCACAACCATGTCTGGTCGTGGAAAATCATCGGGCAAGAAGGTCGTCAGCTGTTCTGCAAAGCCTGGGCTTCAGTTTCCCACCGGAAGAATTGCCAGGTTCTTGAAGGCAGGAAATTATGCCACTTGTGTAGGAGCTGGTGCTCCTGTTTACGTGGCCGCGGTTCTCGAGTACTTGGCTGCTAAAGTTTTTGAGCTTGCTAGAAACGCCGCTCATTACAACAAGAAGACCAGAATCCTTCCTCGCAACATCCATCTTGCTGTGAGAAATGATGAATAGCTAATCAAGCTTCTTGGAGCAGTTACGATTGCGGCTGATGGGTGTGCTTCCGAACATCCAGTCCGTTTTGTTGCCGAAGAAGTCTACAGGAAAGGACGACGAGGAAAGCCCCTAAGCCTTATAGCATATCTACGGTAAATCTCATAACAAGTGGACCGCGTGTCTGCATGTCGCGTTAGGTCTAGTGCCCGTTTCTTTGTATTAATACCTATCACAATGTTAATAGCTTTTGATGTAACTATTCGCCGCCTTTTCTTCATGCGTACGTGAAAAATACATGGTCTGGTGGTTAGTGCACGAGAGGCATATTATCAATCCTTTGCTTGAGTATATAATTCACTCATTACGTATGATGCGTGAATGCCCTCCGAATAGTTGAAACACGGAGGCGCCTAAATACCAACTCCTACCAGGGTAAGACAGGAGCCTTATCACCTCCTAAGCAGTAAGGCTTATTGAAGAAAGGCTACTCAGAGGTAGAAGTTCACATTAGAAACAACGCCAGAGAGATTATTGTTGCAAGATCTAACTTTCTTATCTGGAACCATTTATAAGCAACTGGACAAATCACATCCTATCCATAAATCACCCTTTTTCATAAATGCATATTGGTGTAGCATGTAAATTACATGTCTATGTATGGTGCAGGTTACATAGTGCTATATCGACATCTGTTTGCACGAGAGGATTTCGCCGAGCAATCGGCGTACGGAAACGAAGGTGACGCTGACAAATGTCAGGCCAACTGACTTAGGTAAAGAAGCACTTCACACTCTCGCTGGATGGCAGGGAGTGCTTCCATGCTTGCGGGCAGCTGACAAACCGTTTGGTTTCTGTCACGGCGAACTAATCCACCTGAAACACGGTGTCAGGAGTTGACGTTTTGACTGCCCGTTGACTAAGCTGCCGTTGAAACGCGGCTCATCTCCGTGGAAATGCTGGTGGTTCCGTACAGCCGGGCTGTCCGCGTTGATGCATTGGACGAATGGGGTTCGAGGGCCGGCGACATCTTTCTTGCCTGACGCGAGCCGGCTTGGGTAACCCGATGGTCCCAGAGCCACTCCACCCACCCCGCACAAGCCCTGATTCGTGATAAAAAACGCGAAAGGAGTTACCTTCTTAGCGAGCCTCGCATTGCTACCCAAACCGCGCGTTCGTGAATTCCAAGGTACTGATGCCTGTTGCCTGTTTGAGCCCCTCCCGGTTGCCTTGTGAAGGGGGCATATAAGCTGTATCGTGCGTTTCGCATAAGTTCGTCAATTTCGCAGCTAGCTAAAAAGAATTCGCATGTGCTTATAAACAAGACCCTGCTACCTAGTTACCTAGTTTGACTTCAGTCTCTTCTGCTTGACTTCGGTCTCTTCTGCTTGACGCGCTTGTAATGTGGGTGCATGAAGCTGGGGAAACAACCTCGGGTGCAGCGTGTCCATCCGGCGCAAGGCAAATTCGCGCGCATGGGGTGAGCATCAGCTGTATTGTACTGCCGAGTCAAACAGCTGGAAACCGTACCACCTGGAGCAATGGTGCCTTCTTTACACAATTTCTTTGAAAAATTAGTGCTCATCACTCCTCTCAATTTCACACACACTCTCAATTTCTCACTCTTCCTTTTTACTCCCCGCTCCATAACCACTTCAGTCCAAGCTCTGACACGGGCAGACAAGTGAGACTGATAGCACCAGAGCAGGCGAAAAGTGCCTACAATTTTTCATTTTCTTTGACGTAATCCCAACTCAAAAAAAAAAAAAGAATTTTACTAATCGTTAGATCGACGCCAGCCGCTGAATGGCCTTGTTTTCACCTGCTTTCAACGAGTTCCATCGCCAGTACGAGTTAAGAGAGGAGCTCGGTCGCGGGCAATACGGCGTGGTGCATCGCTGCGTCAATCGCGCCACGGGAGAGCAGTTCGCTTGCAAGCTCGTCGGCGATTCTCTCAACCTGAAAAACCCCGCCACAGCCATGCACGCGGCTCGACGCGAAATCCGGAACTTGTTGCTTTTAGACGGCTGCAGCCACGTGGCGGCGCTTAAAGACGTATACCGCGACGAGGAATCCAAGTCGCTGTACCTAGTTATGGATCTGTGCGCGGGAGGGGATCTTTTGCGCCGCGTGGAAGAGAGGGGGCGGATTCCCGAGCGCGAGGCGCGCAGCGTGTTTAGAGACATGGCGACGGCGGTGCGTCAGTGCCACGAACGCGGCGTGATGCATCGCGATATCAAGCTCGAGAACGTCCTCCTCTGCCCCAAGCCGCTGCGCGAAATGCGCCACAGCCATGGCACGAGTAACCGTGGTACCGCTGAGGCGGCTGCACAACCGCGTGAAGACCATGCGTCTCCCAACGAGATGTCATCTTTAGATCGTAACGGCAGCCTCATCAGCAGGAGTTCTACTACTTCTCTTGCTACTACTACTAGTAGCACTGATGATCAAGCCATGGACGATCTCCGGCTCTACACGGCCAAGCTGGCGGATTTCGGCATCTCACTCCGCCTGCGCGCTGATCAGGAAGCAGTGGGGTACGGCGGAAGCTTCCCATACGAAGCTCCCGAGATGATTGCTGGCGAGGCGTATGACTGTAGCGCGGATATCTGGAGCCTTGGGGTTACCCTCTATGCGATGCTGTCTGGGTGCTGGCCGTCGTTTAATGGAGGGGTGCGGCGATTGGATGAGAGCAGGGATTGGGAGGATTCCTGCTGGTGGTTTGTGTCGCAGCAGGCGAAGAATCTCGTCCGTCGGATGCTGTCGGTGGATCCTGAGATGCGACCGACGGCTGAGGAGATTTTGAGCGATCCCTGGGTGAGGGGGCAGGGAGGAGAGATCGTGCGGTATAAGCAGACTCCTTTTCTGCAACAAGCAACTCTGATGAGCAAAGGCCGGTCTGCTGGGGCCAGAGGTCGCCGCAATATGACTGAGGGGATGCAAAAAGGGAATTCAAAGAGGAGATATTGTGGGGCTGCTGCTGCCGGTGCAGCGGAGACCAGCAGCACAGCGTCGACAGGGGTGATGACAGTGGAAACACTACACTCATCCCCTTCACAAACGTCTGTGTCTTCTTCCATTATCTCCCCATCCTCCTTTCCTGGTTTCCATGCCCCAGAAGGCTGTAAGCAGCGTGGGTTCAGAGATTAACATTAATGGCAACAACGGTAATAGAGTGTACAGGAGTCAAAAGCCACAGGGTAGCAACTAAATGATTGCAAGGGTTGCCATTGCCAGAGGCAACAGCCATAGGTAGCTAGGAGCTAATTGAGTAGGGTTGACATGACATACCGCAAAACATTGTATGCAAAGGCATTAAAAATCTACAATACACCACGAAGCACGGCACCAGTTACATCCAACAGACCATTCATAAATACAAGTCGAAGTGCATCTGTGAATCAGCAGCATCCATGTTCGTGGAGACCACCGCTGTTTCAGTTTCACAGCAGGCGCTACCACCCACCCACTGCCAGGGAGCAGCAGAGGCCAACAACAATGTATTGCCACCTTAACAGCAGGCAGACCCCCCTCAGAATGCACGGACGCCAGCAGCTTGACCAGCTCTTTCACAGCAGGCTCTGCCACGGCCACAGCGACAGAGCTTGGCTTTCAATGTGTTGCCGTTCCAAAAATCACACACCCTCTAATTTAGATGTCATACACCTGCACGGACGCCAGCAGCTCATCCTGTTCTTTCACAGCAGGCGCTGCCACGGCCACGGAGCGACACAGCTTGACGGCATCGGCAGGAGTGACGAAGAGCCACTGCTCGCCCATCTCGGCCAGAAAGTTGGCGTCCCACAGCTTGCGCAGGACATCCCTGGATGCTCTGGAGAGGCAGAGCTGGAGGAGGGACGAAGGGAGGGGGTGGGGGCTGGGTTGAAATGGGTGAGAAGAGGTGGTAAGGGATTGCGGTGGGTGACGACGAGCCACTGCTCGGCATCTCGGCCAGGAAGTTGGCGTCCCACGGCTTGCGCAGGATGTCCCGTGACGCACTGGCCAGACAGAGCTACATGGGAGTGAGGGTAAATGGGGGTGAGGTTGGGTGGTAGTGAGAGAGGTGAGGTTGGGTGGTAGTGAGAGAGGTGAGGTTGGGTGGTAGTGAGAGAGGTGAGGTTGGGTGGTAGTGAGAGAGGTGAGGTTCGGGGGGTAGTGAGAGAGGTGAGGTTCGGGGGGTAGTGAGAGAGGTGAGGCTCGGGGGGTAGTGAGAGAGGTGAGGTTCGGGGGGTAGTGAGAGAGGTGAGGTTCGGGGGGTAGTGAGAGAGGTGAGGTTCGGGGGGTAGTGAGAGAGGTGAGGTTTGGGGGGTAGTGAGAGAGGTGAGGTTCGGGGGGTAGTGAGAGAGGTGAGGTTCGGGGGGTAGTGAGAGAGGTGAGGTTTGGGGGGTAGTGAGAGAGGTGAGGTTCAGGGGGTGACGAAGAGCCACTGCTCGCTCATCTTGGCGATAAAGTTGACGTCCCACAACTTGCGAAGGACGTCACTGGATGCACTGGATAGGCAGAGCTGCAGAGGGGTTGAAATGGGTGGGGAGAGGTGGGAGGGGAGTAAGGGGAGTGAGGAGAGTGCGGGGGAAGATAGGAGCCACTGCTCGCCCATCTCCGCCGAGAAGTTGGCATCCCACAGCTTGCGCAGGGCATCCCTCAATGCACTGGACATGCAGAGCTGTAGAGGGGTGGGAGAGGAGGGATGAGAGGGAAGTAAGGTGAGTGAGGGGGGAGCACATCCCTTGATGCACAACACAGGACAATTAGAGTTGGAGCGGGGTGAGCTGACAGGTGAGGAGGATGGACAGGCGGGAGTGAATGAAGGGGCGAAATTATTAGATGTGAAAAGTAGCCATGACCCACAGCCATCAGTCACGACTCACCAGCCATCAGCCCATGTCCCACTTGAATGCTCTTCTCGGAGAGGCCTCAGTGTGGCTTCCAGAGCTTCTAGAGCCCGTTGATGCCTGATGGAACTGCCTGCGAGGCCACGGGCCTCATTGCTCACCACATCACACTACAACATGTGACTCATCTCCCTTGATTCTCAATATTTGTTACCTGAATGCTCTTCTCGGACAGGTCTCGGTGCAGCTCCTTCAGCCAATCAATGCCCGATGGTACACCTACAAGGCCGCGGCCCTGATTGCTCACAGTACTTACCACATCACACTACAGTACCGTGCTTCTTAACTCGTCAGCACCTGAATGCTCTTCTCGGACAAGTCTCGGTGCAGCTCCTTCAGCCGATCAATGCCCGATACATCAATCATCGCGGAAAAGGAAATCTGCGATTTTGGGTGTGCGAAGGTTTTTCTGCAAACATGTTGCAGTTTTGTTGCGACGAGTGTCGAAAAAACACCTACCCCCAAAAGTGACTTTCCGCATACTGATTGCGAAACCGAATACCAGTGATTCAAAGTTAGTTGAACTTTGCACCACAAAAAACCCGACCCATAATCGCACCGCGCCCAACTGTTCCTCGAGATGACATGCGCCTCGGCGTTTGGCCGGAACCGCATACTTGACATTGCATTTCTCGCTTCGACGATTAGGGTTTAGGGAAAACCGAACCTCGCCAAACATCTTCAACATACAGAGAATTATTCGCAAATCTCGTAACTTCAACAGATTGAACAACCAAATATCCAAATTTAAATTACAAAACGGCAAAATCCTAACACCACACACCTCTCAGCGCATTACCCAGTGGTTAGCTCACCCCTTACACCATCATCTGACAACCCCCTACAGAAACCACTCGTTCAAAAACCACAAACCACACACCAAATAAACCAGCAGCAGCAGATCACCAACACCTTCAATGTGTCACACAAAGGTCTCCCATTACGGCAACGACACGGCCAACTATTCCTCAGCTTACAACATCCTACTACCATTCACTTCAGTCCAGCGACGACCCCTCGTCAGACGTCACGACGGTGCGAGAACGCTTCAATGGGGTCCTGCGTAACCGGCTTATCACCTCCTGGTTCAGCGCCCCAACTTCTGAAGGCACATCAGCAGGGGCTATGCCGAGCTCATCGGCGTGGCGTGTGTACGCATGAGTGACAGAACGTATCACGCGCCTGCGGCTACGGGGATCGCTCAACAGTGGGCCTTCAGGTATGCACATTTCCCCTCCTCCGCCACTAGAGCCGCTAGAAACTGGCTCGAACACGATACCCGCTTCCTCTAACAGGGTCTCGTCGCAATCCACATATTCACATGCGGTCATAAAGGTACCAAGCTCGATCTTGAAATCCGCAATCAACATCTGCAAATCGACTGTGGTCGACACCAACGGCTCGTACATGCCCGCCGCAAACGTTCCGTGCAGGTGTCCCATACTGGAAGTCCACGTGTCCGGAACACAACCAGCACGCCACCAGCTACGCTGCATGGTCGCACTTGACACGTGCTGCCATGCCAGACCAATCCATCGCAGCATGTCGAAATTATCGACCACCGCACGCGGCGCCGAATACCTGTGCTGACACTCGGGTTTGCGCACAACCCTTTGCATAAGAAACACACAGTACTGCGCCTTGAATGCATCAACGACTCCGTTCATGTGAGGCATGCACATAGCTGGAACGGCGCCAGACACGTTCACAAACCGCATACAAACTAGGTGCTCCACTGGAAAGCCGTGTTCCACTGTCAGCGGGGAAACGGGCGCAGTGATGCGATGCCCATCGTTGCACACAAGGACGACAACTCTTCTGTCCTTGCTGAAGTGGTCGTCGTTAATCTTGTCCATGTACTCCGTGAAAATCTGGACTCAAACACAATACGTATAACAGGCGTCCATAAGAAACCCTCTCGTACAAAACCACACCACGCGCACGTGTGGCTCCCACATGGACAGCTTCAATGCAGCCTCTAAAACGTACCTCCGGGGTAAGTCTACCGCTCTTCGTGTAGCGCACGACCACCTCCAGTTCACCCTCCCTGCTCCCGCTGTTTTCAGGGCGCTCATCCGGCCGCAGTACGACGAGAGGCAACGCAGTGCAGTTCCCGGCCGCGTTGAAAAGGATGCCAACAGTGATGACGCGCTCGCCGCATATGAGACTACGGGGATAGTCTTGAAGTGACCACTTCGGTAGCCGCGATGGAAGGAAGTGTAACTCTACAAACCAAAACACATCATCAGGTCGCGCCTTCAACGCCTGAATGAGGCCCTTGATACTAGCCATCAATAAATGCAGGGTTGAGTCTCGAAACTGTGTCAACCAGGTCGAAAAACTGCATACCATATATGCAGTATGGACTTCATCCCGCTTCCAATGTGAACCTCCACTGCTACCCAAAAACACGCACTACACTCGTACCTGACATGAAACCGCAACCCAACGCCGATAAGAAATGTGTTTGGTCGCTCCATTTGTTGCACACGCATTGGCCGGTTAAAATACAGTCAAACTCATAGCCACGCAAACGCAATCGAAACGAACACACGTTACACCGACCACGCAATTCAACAACACTACTACACACACCCCCTCTGCAACCACACAACCTCACCTTCCTCTGTCCCAAACGCACACCACACCTCCAAAGCTACCAATTGACATGTCGCTCTCCAATACGTCAACCCGAGTGGGGAGAAGATTCAACCACACATTTTGACCAACCAAAAGATCGGAGCACCACCAAAAGAGCCACTTCAACCATTTACATCAAACCGAAAACACAGATCTCACGTCACATGAATGCAAATGACAATAGAAACGCATACCACAGTAGTACGCGATTTAGGATCCGATAGAATTAATCGAACAACCCTATCCAGTCAACGTTTCGAACATCTGGTTGCACCCTTACCACATACGCACAAACTTAAAACATTTCAACATCCTCATCACGCGATGTTTCACGAAATCGCCCAGTAATATAACCCCAACAACCACGTGAGCTCTATAACCGTTTACTGCAAACAATGGTAAAAAAAACCCCCAATCCCATCCAATCCCACACGACTACAACATAAAACAAATCCCCCATATACATCAAACTGTCCACGCACAACTCATAAGCTGGAACAGTATCCTTTCTTGCAGTTGCTAACACACTGCTCTACTCACACAACAAAAACTTGTTCAGCAGCAAAACCTTGGAGTTGCTGTAAGACGGGCACACGTGTATCACTCGCAGTATGCTTTCCACCTCCACTATGGCATATCTGCCCTCATCTCGTCTGGGGCATAGCTGCTTGCATGTGGTCAGCGGGCACTGTCCAACCTCCTCGTAATACCTCAGGTACACGAACGCCTTCCATGCACCATCTTCGTCAGTTGTGGTGAAGATGCACAGGCACTTTGCGTACCATTCTCCTTTGCATGTGGAATCCATGACTGCCACGTCCGAGAACCATTTCTCTCTAGGAGATGCCTTGACGAACGTTCCTTTGGATACTAATGCACCTCCGCGAGTCCGTGGAATGGCCAAGGCGTTGTGCACCTGCAACAAAAACCGCATATCCGATTTAGCGTCAGCACATCAGGTTATTGTAAACCGGCCTATTGGTCGACGGATGAATATGAGCCCATCTCCTACATTCAAACATCTCTACAGCATACCTGCACGGCGGCCCCACTCAATCCAAGTGTTTCAATTTCTGCGCTCAGATACTCCATCTCCTCCCCCAATGCACAAATGAAGTCCGACATCACTGCATCTGGTGTACCGCATACCCGCATTGCACGAAACTTCTTGGTCAGCACCAGTTCCTTCGTGCGAGCGGCCTGCCATCATGAACCAACCAGGACCGGGTTAAGACAGGGTTTATATAACACGGTAGAAGGATAACATCGCCTGCACCCACAATGCCCCCCTACAACCAGAGCACGCACCTCACGTAAAGCAGAGACGTATTGTCGTCCTCCGCCCGCATCCGCGGCCACTTCTCTATAGATCTCGCGCTGCACATCTTCTTCCACAATTCGTCGAGAAATGTCCTTCCAGTTGCTTCCCCTCACGGGTGTCTTCACGATGCTTTTGTGCGTCCGTTCCCACATCTCCGTGTTGTAGTGGTGAGGCATCCCACGAGTCACAACGTTCTCTAGCAGATGCTTAATCATATGCACCTTCGGCAGTTCCCAGTGCGACTTCTGATTCTTGAACGCCCGTGGCAGCAAATCCAAGAGTCTGTGTAACAATGCCGTGTCAAATGGTGGAAACCCTCACACATTTGTCACACAATTCGCCGCACCATAATACATTTTAAGGTTCATCACAGAGTAGCGCAATACCCAACCCAAACCGAAACAGGTGCTTACTTGATAGCATGTTGTCGTGCGATAGCGAGCGTTGTCTGGGTGTGCGATTCAACGCCCAAGAATGCCTTGTAAAAAACCGCATACATGCGGAAAGCGCGGACCTGAAGCGCTCTCAGCTCTCCAGCCTCATCCGTTTTGGTAGCAGTCTGATCTGCGATTAGTATGGGCACGATCTGCATCATGCTCCGGTGTTCAAATGCCGCGTAGTTTGCGCCGGACCGGAAAAACGAGTTCCCTCCAGGTATGCGAAGGACGACGCTGGGCGTGTCTCGTTTTACCCCTTTCTTGCGCCTGCGATGTATATAACGTCATGCCCACCAAATCAAACAATGTTCAACGGTTCGCTAGTAATCAGGTATCACCATGCCAAAACCCCGAGACTCACAATCCAACCTCACCTCTCCAAGATGCGCATTTCAGCCTTGCCTATCGTGGACAGGAATTCATCCATCATGTGGATGAACACCCCAGAGTCCAGAACGTGCAAGGTGTCGGCGAGGCATGCCATGTACACGTTTCCCCAATCGGTGTCTGCGAAGTTCCATCGTTGAAGGACGCACTGCGCACATGGCAACATACAATGCAACGGCTATCAAATACTATCTTCCACCAACACGAACATTATACACGAGGTACACCCACCTTGATCGGATGTGTTGACCATCCACTCTTGATTTTCTTGGCGTCCTTCTTTTTCTCGCATGCCAAGATTCTGCGAACAATCACTCTCTGCTTGTGCGGCGTCCTTGGATCAGTTGTGCCGGCAAGGCGAGTAAGCTCACCCTAGAGAACACACAGCCTGCTGGGAGATCCCAGAACACACAGCCTGCTGGGAGATCCAGGAGGGCGACTCAGGCGCCAGCGTATTTGCGGGCGTCTTATCAACTGGCTGCTCCTAGAGGCCGTGGTGCAAGGGGTCCTCGGGGATCTAATGTCCCCAAGAAGTTGAACTTTCCGAGGCTGAAGAAGACCGCAACCTCAGGGGGCGAAGG